AACCATAGTCAATAGTACCTTTAATGTAGCGAAGAAGCCTTTTTAGAAGGTATGTATGTTGTGGAAGGGGATCATGCATATGCTGAGAGAGCAAGTTTACACTATAAGCAATGTCAGGAGAGGTAAGAGTCAAGTATTGTAGCGATCATGTTAGTTTCCTATAGGTGCTAGGATCGGAGATGACCGAATTGTCTTGAAAAATGGTAGCTAATTTCGTACATGTTGGATTTGATACCGAGTTGCATATGATCAAATTGGCTTGCTAAATGATAGAGTAGGCATTTTGTTTTTGTGACAGAAAGTATTGTTGACCCTGATGTTTTATTTGTGTGCCAAGAAAATAGTGGGCTTCGCCTAAGTGCTTCATTGCGAACTTGAGATTGAGCTAATCAAGAAGCTTCTTTATTGCGTCTTGATTGTCCCATGTTATGAGAATATCGTCCACGTATATGAGGAGAAATATGTTGGCTTGCATCTGCATTAAAATTAATAGAAATGAATCTGATTTGTTGTGCTCGAAGTCAAGAGAGACCAGATATGATGTAAATGTATTGTACCACTATCGTGAAGCCTGCTTGAAGCCATATATAGCTTTATTAAGCAGGCAAACTTGATTAGGATGAGTGGAGTCTTCGAATCCCTTCGGCTGAACCGTGTAGCCGTTTCCAGAATATTTTCGTGAAGGAATGCATTTGCAACATCCAGTTGTTGGACTGACCAGCCGTTCTATAAAGCTGCGGTTAGCAAGATTCTAATGGTGGGTAGCTTTGCTACAAGGATGAATGTTTCGTTGTAATCTATGTCGTATTTTGATTTTGTTTTTCACCGAATACAGGTTAGGACATGATACTAACTGTTGTTAACCACTTGTGCAATCCCATAAATAATTTTATATTCGAGGTAAGATTCGTCAATTAACAATTAAATGATTACTCATTAACTGCATTACTATGGGACATGCTGGCAAAAGTTGGAGAGAATTGATTGTGTATTTTATTATAATATTTATGAAGTATTTATATAAACTTAGGATAACTTCTCATATGAACCATACAAAATTAAGGAATAATAATTTTAGAATAATTACATCTGTACACCGATTGATGAGTAGACAAATAGGGATCCCATGGATTAATGAGATGGCAACAAAAGAAGATTGAAAACTTTCAAAGTATGAGGGACATTTTTATAAGAATTTCTCCTTGGCCAACTATGGTGGTTGAAATCCATCTGTTGTAGTTATTTTCTTGTTGCTGAGATTTATGAAAAAATTTGATCAAATTATTTATAGCTCCTCAATGCATGATCTGAGAGGCATGCAAAGAGAAGGTAATACATGAGAAAGCTTGAGTACAAGGGCCTACAATAGATTATTTTCCAAGTGCTCCTAGCAAAACTTATCTTTTTATGCATTGTAAGTGGCACAATTTTCTTTTCTTGTAAAACATTGTGAACCAATCATTAGCACTTTAGATAGGTCGTTTCATTCAACCGAAATTTTGTATAAATGTTTTGCAACTTTCCTCTTGGATTTAGATTTCATTTCTTAATTTCAAGAGAGGCAAGATCATAGGGTATGTGGCTATTGTTATTATTGTCCATGAAGTAAAAATTATGATTATTTTCACAAGAAAAAAAAAAAGGAAAGGAAAGAAATAGGACAATGCAACCATGAAGTCTACAACAATGGGACCAATTTGTGACAATGCAGCGATGAGGTATGAGAAATATTTATGGCAATGCAGCGATGAGGTATGAGATATATTTATGGCAATGCACTGGCTAGGTACCGAGTATGCACCTAGTGGTACCGAGCATGTACTGAGCGGTACCGAGCATGTACCTAGTGGTACCAAACATTATTGTACCAAGTGGTACCGAGCATATACCTATCGGTCTCAATGTGGAAGGAAGTAGACGCCGAACGAAGAGGGCAAAAGGTCGAAGTAGAAGATAACTCCAACCCAACTCACGGTAGAAGATAACTCCAAGCAATAAGCGAAGAGCGAATGTGGAAGGACGCCGACGTCGAACAAAGAGGGAAAAAGGTCACTTGAAGAAGAAGGGACAAAACATGTTTTCGGGAAATGACGGAAGACCGCGCGGGGTTGGGGGGTCCGAACCGAACAAATATATATTAGGTTTTTTTTTTTAGAGGCGAACGCCTCTCAGCCGTGAGGCGAGGCGCGTCTTAGTAAACTTGAGGCATACACCTCAAATCCTTAACTCATTGCATAGGCTTTGAGGCTTAAAGGGGCAAAATTACGCTGAGACACGCCTCTTATTGCGCAATTTTAAACCATGATGAGTATGATTAAAGTGTGAGGGTACCCTTTTGTTCAGTTTTAATTTTGGCAGCCTCCCGACATTTTCTCCCTACGAGGGGAGGTTGGGGAGGACAATTGCCCTTTTGGCTCAACTCAACCGGATCAAATCAATAGCGAGGAGTTTGGGGGAGCAAATCAACCCTAGAAATTTCAAGTCTTCAATCCACTCAGTCGATATCAAATCGTCGGCCGAGGGCTTCGGGGGACCGTATCAACCCCGGAACTTCTAATTTCTCCTACCATGATACCTATTTGAAAATCTCCCTATCTCTCTCTATATTTTTAATTTTATTTTATAATATATATATATATATAATCTGCAACCGGCAATCGTCAATAATATATAGGAGCCCGATCGGGCAAGGTCGGAGACCAGGCAGCGGGAGTTGGGACAACGAGGTGCAGGCGACGGGAGGTCGACGACAAAGGCAAGTCGGAGGCTAGTTAGCCCAGGTTTAGGGCACAACGGCAGATCAAGCTGGAGCATAAGTCAGAGGGAGCGTAGGCATTCGGTGTGGCTATGGCACGACGAGTTCGGCCATTGGAATAGATGGAGGTTGGCGACTGGTTGGACTGGAGTGGAGACAGCAAACCAGTTGAAAGTTCATTAGGGTTGTTAAGCTCTTATGAACTAGCCCGCGGTTAACCAAGAGGAGGTGAATTGGTAGTTTTAAAATTTAAACAAAAAGCAAAAATCATTTTGAAACTTTTTTTTAATATTTTAAAACAAATAAGATTAATGCTTGATGTGGAAGCAATTAACAAAATCAATCAGAGATTTCAACCATACAATCAACCATAGAAATCAAAGTGTGAAAAATAAAGTGCAGGAATAAAATAGAAAGAACACACCATATTTTATAGTAATTCGGTCAACTTAACCTAAGTCCACTCTCTGGAGCCTGTCCTCCAAGTATTGCACTAAAATACAATGACTCTATTTTTGCTCTCACAGCAAGGCGGAGAAGCCTTTACAAACTCCTTTTCACCGACCCCGGTGAGGTAGAGAACCTATACTCCTTTTGCTTCCTCTTGAAGCAGGCAGAAAATCTTGATCTAATGCTGACGAAGACCTCCCTAGAGCCACCAAGGAGCCAAGGACGACGAATGGAGAAGACGACTTGAATTCTTGCTTGGACCAACCTTTGTGAACACCTCACAAACTCTCCCTCATAAGATCCTCTCTCCCAAGCTCTCCCTCTCCTTCTCTAAGCTCTCTCAGGTCAGGACAACAACAAAAGATACTCTTATTAACAAACAAGAAATCTTATAAAGGTCTTAAAATTTTTTTTTAATTTTTACCTTGCCGTCAAAGATTGTCCTGTATGATTAGTGTAATTCATCCCTTCCAACCTGGACGATCTGGGTCTGCTGTACGATTAGAACACATTGATTGTTATGATCATCCAGGACGATGCGGACATCGTCCCGTACGATTAGTTCAAAATCAAACATATCATCCAGCAGATAATTCGGGACGTCCAGGAGATACATGTTGGACGATGAAGAAATATAATTGATCATCCAGGCTGATACTTGAATCGTCAAATACGATTAGTTCAAAATCAGTGATTATCGTCCAGAAGATAGTTCGAGTCGTCCAAGAGAATCATCTGGACAACGAAGTATTATAACTAATCGTCCAGCACATAGTTTGAGACGTCCAAGTGATTCATGAGAAAACTAAGGTTTTTTATAACTGATCGTCCAAGACGATCCTGCGATCATCTAGGATGATATGATCGATTAATCTAACCTTAATTAATTTATTTAATCACTTAACTAATTTAGGCATGATTGTAATGAATCGTCCAGGATGATCTGGGATCGTCCTGTATGATTAGAACAAAATTTTTCCACCTGAGTGTATGTGCAAGGTTACTTAGCATCAGGATCCACCTTATTACATTTGACTCAAGAAAAAGTAAAAACTACTGGAATTAAAGTTACGGACTGACTCAGTCCTAATCTACCAAATCTTGAGTTGGTTTGAATTACAATTGAACTTGTGTACCTGAAAAGTTAGTAAGCAAGGCAACCAAAACAGATCTGCAGCAGTAACAGTAGTAGAAAAAAACAAGAATGCCAAGAATGTTTGTTATCATCAAAATTATAATCTTTGAATCCAAATTTGCAACACCGGTGAGGTCGGGTCGGCCTTGGGCTCGGAGAAGGAAGCACGGTCGGTAGTTGGGAGGTCGGTGTCGAGTGGCTGCGTGCGAATGGGATGAGCGAATCAGGATTCGTTTGTCTATCTCTATAAGTTTCCCAAATCCTTCATCTTTCTTTTCTGTGTGCATATGCTTGCGGTATGCTTGTGCCTTCGGTTTTGTTGTGAGGAGCATTTGTGAGGTCGTGGGTTTGTGGGTGGTTTCAGTCCGTGCAGTGGAATGGGCGGCAGTTGCAGGTCAACATATTCAAACTAACTCAATTAGCTAATGAGACAGATTTTAGTCTAGCTTTTGCTATTCATTGTGCATTTGTTCACTTTCAACCATAGTATTGCATATGTAGAAATTTTTGTTTAAAGCAATTTCGAGAACAGGAATAAACATTAAATGGTTTGTATGCTAAACTCTTATTTACAAAAGAAAACCTTAAAATTCACCATAAGAAGATATAAAATAAGGAGAGAAAAGTGCAGATAGAAAACAAGGAGACAAAAGTGCATACCGCACGTGTTATTGGGTCATCAGAATCTAGCATTCGAACAACCTGCCCCATCCTAGGCCTCTTCTCAGAATCAGGATCAACACATCTTAAAGCTGTTAAAAGGGCTCTCTTGAGAGCTCTAGTGGATGGCTTTTCCTGTATGCTTGGATCCACAACCTCTTCAGATCTCCTGCTACCAACCATCATTTTAAGCCAGTCCACTAAATTTACCTGCAATCAGCCAATAGTTTAAACTACGTATTGTTTCAAAGAATGTGCACGTAATTGCCATTAATATACCTCATTTGCAGGACGACCATAATCAACAGGATCCCTTCCAGTTATGGCCTCCAATAGAACAACTCCAAAGCTATATATGTCACTCTTCTCGTTAAGAAGTCCAGTGTTAGCATATTCTGGTGCTACATAGCTATCAAATAAAATGTAAGATAATTCAGAAAATGATTGAATAGTGGATAAAGCTTATTATATTTAATCAGCTCTTAGAATATCTGCAATCACAGATTTATGATTATCACATAAGATAAGATAAAAGTATTTGGAATAGGCCGCCCACCCAAAGGTTCCCATAACTCGAGTAGTAATATGGCTTTTCCCGGCACCTAGCAGCTTTGCTAAGCCAAAATCTGACACCTTGGCATTAAATTCAACATCAATTAATATATTGCTGGATTTGATATCCCTATGAACCACTTTTGGTTCAATTGCTTCATGAAGATAGGCCAAGCTGCAAAATTTTATAGTTTCTTCAAATTAGAAAAATCAGAACTGAGATATAACCAAAGTGTAAGTGTGCATTTTGGAAAATAAAAAAGGCATGCGAGGAGGCTAGAAATTATACAGCCCGTGTTGACTATAAAAAATTAAAAATAAAAAGGGCTAAAGATAATCGTGTCACTAGTTTAAAGAGCACAATTTTATGTCAAAGACATACAAATGAAAGTTTCCCGTACGAGTAGCATGGAAAAAGTACATATTTAAAACATCTAACACTAACTTACGCTTTAGCAGTGCCAAGGAGAATCTTGATACGAGCCTCCCAAGTTAGAAAACCCCTTTGACGCAAAGCTCCATGAAGCCATTGTTCAAGGTTCCCATTATTAACATATTCATAAACAAGCATCCTGAAATATAAGCATGGTATTAAGAAAGAAACGTAAAGATCAAAAGAGAAATCACAAAAGAATCACTGAATATATAAAGATTCTACATGATTTGGATAGTAATCCTTCAACATTCATAGTTGCATGGATTTCACTATTTTGTTTAAAGTTAAAATTACTAGATATGCCTCCTTCTGAATAGTAGGCAAGGGAGACAATAAAGATAAGAAAAAATATTATTTTACCTCAAAATATTTTGTGAAATATAACCTTAGCTTATTTCCCGGAATTAGAATATTCTTGTTGCGTCCAGGAGTATTCGCGGCGGTAGAGAAATATATGGTTTAACGTCTTAGAATTGTACGAAAATCCGTCACGCAATCAGATAAGAGAGAGGGTCTAGCATTTATGAGCAACAAGATTTTTACGTGGAAAACCCCTGTAAAATGGGGAAAAACCATGGGGCCTAGCCCAGTTTGAACAAATCCACTAGTATTTGCAGTCGATTACAAATGAGGCCCTTCCTTGGGGAAGGCCTTAGCTTGATGTACATCTTATGGAGTACATTACATGATGTAAATACAAAGAGCTACTATCAACGTATCCGCTTTGTTAGAAGGACTACAGTCGACGGGCGACGTAAATCAGGAGGACCATAGTCAGCTGGCGACGGAGGACTGTAGTCGACGGGCGATGTAAGTCAGGAGGACCGTAGTCGGCAGGCGACGGAGGTCGGAAAGATTGTAGTCGGCGGGCGACATAAGTCAGAGAGGGACCCATATTCAACGGGCGACGGATGTCGGAAAGACTGTAGTCAGCGGGCGACGTAAGTCAGGAGGACCGTAGTCGGCTGGCGACGGATGGTCGGAAGGACTTGATGCTGACGACGAAGATCAGTAGGACAGCGTCAGGTAGAAGTCCAGCAATGGAAAGAAATGCATATTCGCATAGACGTCCAGCGAAGTCCGATAACCGGTAGAAGTCCGGCGTCGGGTAGAAACTTGGCGAAGAGTGAAGGTCCGATGTCGGGTAGAAGTCCAACGTCTTTGTGGCAGAGGAGAACTCCGGCTTCACTGGGCGGAGTTTCGGCGTCAGGAGGGAACTCTCTTGTAAATTGGGAAGAATTTCAGCATCCCATGGAAGTTGGGCAGAATTCTGGCGTTCTCCTGAATATCCGACAGAGTTCCGACGTCCTTCAGGCAGCAAAAAAGATCCCGGCGGGGTCGAGGAGGAGCTTCTTCCTTCTCCCCCTCCTTCTCACCTCTTCCTCTCTTCACTGAGTCCCTTTGGTGTAGAATGAGGGCTCTATTTATAGTTTTTCTGGAGTGGCATAGCCCGTAAATAGGCGTGAGATCAAGGCACGAATTGGAGTGTTTTGAATGGATAGCGATATCGAATCCTTTGATCATGCACCGTTCGTTGGGCATTTTGAAGCCTTAATGATGTCAGAATTCAGCGATCTTGGGCTCGTTGGATTCGTCTCGTCAAGCCGTTTGATTCGAGTATAAGCTCGTCAAAATCGGAGACGGCTTGGTAACTCGAATTGCGGTTTGAACCTTCCAACAGCACTTTGAGCCCTTGATTCGAACTCATTTGGGCTCGGATTGGGTTGATCTTGGTGTCGTTGGGTTCGTATTCCGAGACGCTCAGTTTGACTGTAAGCTGCTGAAATCGGAGTTCATATGCTCCCAAAATTAATTTTTGAAGTCCCGAACTGATTTGCTTCGAGATCCGTGCCCAATCAAGATAATTTTGGATAACGTATCAGTTGTCCCCCTATTTTCAACGTCGAAGCTCACAGGAGTCTGAAAATATGCATTACAAATTTTAAAGAATTTTCCCGAGCGAGTCGGAATTATTCTTGCGTGTGAGGGCCTCGATTGGCCTTGAAATTGTCAAAATTGAGTCCGGGACGTCGAAAAAATTGTCCCGGGGACCCCAAAAGAATTGACGGGCCGGCAGGGCGGAACGCGGCCGCACGTGCGCCCCTGCGGCGAAACCGCGCTGCCCACACGCAGGGCTACGCCCGTGCCCGCGCCTGGGCTAACCGGACCCGCCGCCACCTGGGCCGAACCGGCCCACAAAGCCTGGGCCTAACCGCTCGCCGCGCCGGCCGGCTCAGGCCGCGTTCTTTGCCGGTTCCTTTGCCGCGCTGCGCCTGCGCGGCAGTGTCGCGGCTGCCGCTGCCGCTGCCGCCTTGGCCAGCCGTGCCCGCCTTGGCCGGCCGCTGCCGTGTGCGGGCAGCCGCTATCCGCGCGTGGTGCCCGCGGATCGGTGCGCTGGTCGCGCCGTTTCGGGAGGCCGGTTGGCTGCACCCCTTAAGTGGGCCCCACTAGCCGGAAAAAACTCCTTTTTTGCTATTTTTGGGCCCAAAAAATTCAAAAAAAAATCCCAAAAAATTCAGAAAAAATCAGAAAAAATTTAGAAAAATCTGGAATTCGAAAATGGTTGTAACTTCCCTTCATTCTCTCAAAACCTATAAATAGGCCATCTTAGGCCTTCAGAAATACTCTGAAACTTCCGTATATTTGCGAGTTGAATTTGTTCATGCTCGAATTAGTGCCCCTCCTCGCGTGCAGAAGCTTACGGGATTCTTCTCCTCTCTCCTCTGGCTTTACTGACAGCTGAGGCTTTCCGTTATTTGCGAGTTGGAATTTTTTCCTGCTCGAATTAGTGCCCCTCCTCGCGTGCAGAAGCTTACGGGATTTCTTCCTCTCCCTCCGGCTTACTGACGGCTGAGGCTTCCGTTATTTGCGAGTTGGAATTTTTTCCTGCTCGAATTAGCGCCCCTCCTCGCGTGCAGAAGCTTACGGGATTTCTTCCTCTCCTTCCGGCTTACTGGCGGCTGAGGCTTCCTTATTATGAGTTGGAATTTTTTTCCTGCTCGAATTAGCGCCCTCCTCGCGTGCAGAAGCTTACAGGATTTCTTTGCCATTTGAGCGGAAGTTTTGCCTACCGAGGACGATCGAGTTGACGCTCATTTCAGTCAACGATCGGAGCGTGGAGCCAAAGGAGGGAGTTCGAGGTGCGTTGCGAGAGTAGCAGTCGAGGAGAAGCCGATGACGAGTAGTAATCTCTGATGAGCAGAAGTCCGACGCAAGAAGAAGTCCAAACGTCGGGTAGAAGTTCACGTCGGTAGAAGTCAACGTCGGGTAGAAGACCGACGAACGTTCGTCGACGAGTAGAAGTCCGACGACGAGTAGGAGTCCGACGTCGGGTAGAAATCCTATCCGAGGTTGTATGTCAAAACATTTGTTCGATGACATTAACTTGTGTGGAACAGGTCGAAAGAATCCTTGAAGGATGTAAGACCTATCCGAGATTGTATGTCCGGAGCCCTGTTTAGACGACGTTAATCTGTGTTGGATGAGGTCGAGAATCCACCAAGGATGTAAGACCTATCCGAGGTTGTATGTCAGAACATTTGTTCGATTGACATTAACCAGTGTGGAAGAGGTCGAGAGAATCCACCAAGAGTGTTAAGACCTTTCCGAGGTTGTATGTCAGAGCCTTTGCTCGACGACGTTAACCTGTGTGGAAGAGGTCGAGAGAATCCACCAAGGATGTGAGACATTTTCGAGGTTGTATGTCGAAGCGCTCCTTACTCGACGACGTTAACCTGTAATGGAAGAAGGTCGAGAGAAATCTACCAATGATGTAAGACCTATCTGAGGTTGTATGTCGGAGCCCTGCTCGACGACGTTAACCTGTGTGGATGAGGTCAGGAGAATCCACCAAGGATGTAAGACCTATCCGAGGTTGTATATCAGAACATTTGTTCGATGATATTAACCTGTGGGAAGAGGTCGAAAGAATCTACGAATGATGTAAGACCTATCCGAGATTTGTATGTCGGAGCCCTGCTCGACGACGTTAATCTGTGTGGAATAGGTCGAGAGAATCCACCAAGGATGTAAGACCTTTCCGAGATGTATAGTTCGGAGCCCTGCTCGACGACGTTACCTAGTGTGAAAGAGGTCGAGAGAAATCCACCAAAGGAATGAGAGCCTTTCCGAGGTGTATGTCGGAGCCTTTGCTCGGCGACGTTAACCTGTGTGGAAGAGGTTTGAGAGAACCGCACAAGGATGTGAGACCTTTCCGAGGTTGTATGTCGAAGCCTTTCCTCGACGACGTTAACCTGTGTGGAAGAGGTCGAGAGAATCCACCAAGGATGTGAGACCTTTCGAGTGTATGTTGGAATATTTGTCGAACGACGTTAACCTGTGTGGAAGAGGTCGAGAGAATCCACCCAAGGATGTGAGACCTTTCGAGGTTGTATGTCGGAACATTTGTTCGACGACGTTAACCTGTGTGGAAAGAGGTCGAGAGAATCCACCAAGGAGTGAGACCTTTCCGAGGTTGTATGTCGGAGCCTTTGCTTGACGACGTTAACCTGTGTGGAAGAGGTCAAATCGCAATCCCCCTGGGATTGATTTTGCTTTGATTAGGAGGGGCGAACGTCGCGTATATCCTGAATCAAAGGTGAAGAATAGTATATCTTTAGACCTGTACTGTCTTTTTTGAGTTTGAGATTAAACTTTATCAAGGAGTAGAAGAATCCAACAGGGACTGTATAAGCTTGTAATTGATTGGAATTATCCTTACATGTCCGCTGGGATTTTTTCCAAAATATCATCTTGATTATAGAAAGCATCGGAGGATCTTTTTGGTCAGAATTGGGGTCAAAGTTGCCCCCCAGTCCGCATCTGATGCAACAATGACTGCTGTCAAGAAGTTGATAAGAGCGATCTTTTGAGATTGGAGCAAAAGTTGCACCCCCCCCCAATCGGGAATCACGTTCCCACAGACGGCGCCAAACTTGTTGCGTTCAGGAGTATTCGGGCGGTAGAGAAATATATGGTTTAACGTCTTTAGAATTGTACGAAAATCCGGCACGCAATCAGTATAAGAGAGAGGGTCTAGCATTTATGAGTATACCAAGATTTTTACGTGTGGAAAACCCCTTGTAAAAGGGGGAAAAATCACGGGGCCTAGCCCAGTTTGAACGAATCCACTAGTAATTTGCAATCGATTACAAATGAGGCCCTTCCTTGGAGAAGGCCTTAGCTTGATGTACATCTTATGGAGTACATTACATGATGTAAATACAAAGAGCTACTATCGACGTATCCGCTTTGTTATAAGGACTGCAGTCGACGGGCGATGTAGGTCAGGAGGACCATAGTCAGCTGGCGACGGAGGACTGTAGATCATGACGGGCGATGTAAGTCAGGGGACCGTAGTCGGCGGGCGACGGAGGTCGGAAAGACTGTAGTTCGGCGGGCGGACATAAGTCAGGAGGACCGTATTCAACGGCCGCGGGCGACGGTATGTCACAAAACTGTAGTCGGCGGGCGACGTAAGTCAGGACGGACCGTAGCGGCTGGCGACGGAGGTCGGGAAGGACTGTAGTCTGACGACGAAGATCAGTAGGACAGCGTCAGGTAAAAGTCCAGCAATGGAAAGAAATGCATATTCGCATAGACGTTCCAGCGAAGTCCGATTACCGGTAGAAGTCCGGCGGTCGGGTAGAAGACTTGGCGAAGAGTGAAGGTCGACGTCGGGTAGAAGTCCAACGTCTTGTGGCAGAGGAGAACTCCGGCTTCACTTGGGCGGAGTTCGGCGTTAGGAAGGGAACTCTCTTGTAAATTGGGAAGAATTCAGCATTCCCATTGGAAGTTTGGGCAGAATTCTGGCGTTCTCCTGAATATTCCGACAGGAAGTCCGACGTCTTCAGGCGGCAGGAAGAGCTTCGGCGGTGGTCGAGGAGGTGAGGAATCTCCTTTTCCCCTTTCTCCTCTTCTTCTTCTCTCTTCACTTGAGTCCCCTTTGTGTAGAATGAGGGCTCTATTTATAATTTTTCTGGAGTGGCATAGCCCGTAAATAGGCGTGAGATCAAGGACGAATTGGGAGTGTTTTGAATGGACGGCCGATATCGAATCCTTTGATCATGCACCGTTCGTTGGGCATTTGAAGGCCTTAATGATGTCGGAATTCAGCGATCTTGGGCTCGTTGGATTCGTCTCGTCGAGCCGTTTGATTCGAGTATAAGCTTGTCAAAATCGGAGACGGTTTGGTAACTCGAATTGCGGTTTGAACCTTCCAACAGCGCTTTGAGCCCTTGATTCGGACTCATTTGGGCTCGGATTGGGTTGATCTTGGTGTCGTTGGGTTCGTATTTCCGAGACGCTCAGTTTGACTGTAAGCTTGCTGAAATCGGAGTTCATATGCTCCCGAAATTAATTTTTGAAGTTTCCGAACTGATTTTTCCTCGAGATTCGTGTTCAATCAAGATAATTTTGTGATGACGTATCAATTCTATAACATTTTTGGGTTGGGGCACTACCAAACAACTTAATGGAAAGTTGGATCTGTAGATGCACAAATGATATCATTAATAGAGACCAACATTATAGTTCAAATAGTAAAAACCTCAACACAAAGAAGCTAGGGAATTCAAACTTATGCTGCTTAATTATCAAGTCAACTGAGAATACAGTAATTTAAACCCGAAAAGTACTTAACACAAAATAATGACTAAATTACTTTGTAGGTCAAAACAACACCTCCCAATTAAAGATGACATCTCAGTGGGCAATTTCAAAGCAAATATCATGGAGCGGGAGCACCACTAGGCTCAAATATTTGCAACTATATTGCCAACTACACCTAATTGGAAACCATTATACATAAGAACATATCATTCATAAAAGTAAGAAAATGTAAGGTATTGTATCGTGGAAGTTAGACCAATAGCTAACACACAAAACTGAAATATTGTAGAAGGAAAATCCCTCAATAGAAGATACATGGACAACACACCTCTGAGTACCCTCCACACAATATCCCAAAAGTCGTACTAGATTTTTGTGGCGGACATGGCCAATTGCCTCAACTTCCACCCTAAACTCCTTTTCGGCCTGTCCTCTATATTATCATGCAAAAGAAAGAAAAAAAAAAAGATAAATAAGACAATTAAAAATACATAAATGCAATCTAAATGTACTAGGGTGAGCTAAAAATTGAAACCTTTACGAAGCTTACAGGTTGTTAAGAAGTTTCTTAACAGCAACTGGAGTTCCATTAATCAATTGACCCTGATAAACAATTCCATAACCTCCCTCTCCTAGGACATTATCTTTTGAAAAACGATTTGTTGCAAGTTCCAGGTCCCTTAAAGTAAACCAATGACCCCATCCAAGGTGAGAGAACTCTGGAAGGCCTACAAGAGGTGATGGAGCAGCTATGGGATTGGCAGATGGCTTATAAGCAGCAAATGTTCCCGAATCATCACCCGATTGGGAACTAGCATCTTTTTCATGATGGTGAAATGAGTCTGAATGATCCTTGCCATCTGCATTTTTTGAATAAATCATGCCCGGACGATTCATAGCATTGTTTGATTCTCTTTCATTGGAATTATTCTGAATCGTGAGAAGAACTTGATCATGTCCAATAAAGCCAAGGGGAGGAAGTTGCTCCACCCTTACCTCCTTAATTTCTTTAGAAACAACAGGAATTTGTGTGAGCGGTGGATTTGATGAAGTCCTCAGCTTTTTCCAACTCCGATAAGTTAGACATATTATCAATATGAGTAGAATGCATAGCATGAGAACCCCAAAACATATACCAACAATAACCCATACTTTCAGTCCTAAAAGACCAGTCTTTTTAGATAAACCTTCAGAAAGGCTACTGTCTGAAGAGCTCATATTGCTGGTGGTAAGATATCTACAAGGAATTGCAAATCAGATTATTGTTACGCAAAGAACCTTTACCTACTCATAGTAGCAAATGTTTGTGAAAAAAAATGCACATTCATCGTTCACGGATAGGTTCATATCATGATTACAAGCATAAGAGATTTTGGTAAATAGGACTTTAAGCGTTTACACATTAAATAAAAGGCAAACATATTCAACCTAAATGATGTATAGAAATCATTTTTATTTGTGCATATTGATAAGTTAAATATTTTTATGGTGCATAAACTATTGCACTGAACAAAAACAACAGTAGTTTAAGAAATACGGTAAAGTAAACCCTTTACTAAGTACTTATTATATAGAGAGATCTCTATCCACTCAAATTGTTTCAGCAGCCTCAAGTATGTGGAAAAGTGGAAGTTCAAGATAATATGTGAGGAATTTTGAGTGAGAATATTTAGAATGAGCTTCCCCTTAGGCAAACAATTTTGTTGATGTACACATGGAAACCTGAAGAGACGGAGGACACAATTACATATAGATTGTCCAAAGATTTAAAACAAAAGTATACCGAGAAAGAATAAACATAAAAGCACAAAAACTAAGCTTCAAATGCAAATAAATACAATTTGAAGATTCCCATTGAACTTTTTTCTTTATCCATTCAATATCAGTTATTCATTCAAATATAAAAAAAAAATAATCAACAGAACGAACCATAACAACTTATATCAAACGCATCTCAACTACCTCTCTAAAATGAGCTACATTCAATTAAACCTATGGAAGAAAAAAAGATTAAAAATATCCAAAAGAAATAGAACACCATACAAGTTTTGGATATCCGAATCTAGCAGGTGCTTCAATAAATCTGCTTTCGGTTACTGCACGAATAGGTATTCCCCTATGATCTGACAAGGATCAATTATGCTATGTAATCAAATCCAATAAAAATAGCATATGGTAACACTGTCCGGTAACATACAAAGACGCACAGATATCTGGGCTGAATATATGCGTGTCTATCACAGATCCTCTGATAGTGTGTCTGAGCATGTCAATGCAAAACCTACAGATCTGTTCACAAACATATATTATCTGTACCTAACTATTTCGTCTGGTAGCAAAAACACTTTACTAGTCAAAATAAAATACAAACAGGAAAATGACGGCCTCAAATCATCACAATGTTCATGAAATAAAAGATACTAAGGGAAAAAATTGATGCAATTTTCCAACCATAAGCAACTACTATGTTTCAGGTGTCACAAAAGTGAAGTATCATTGGACATCATGAGTCATGACGCAATTCAATACCTCGACCCCAAATATGGAGCAAAATCCAGCTCCTTTGACACTTCTCAAGCCCGCATTACCCCAGAATAGAAACCGGTGACAACCCTATCCCAATAAACATTTAGATCTAGACAGCATCTGCAAGAATGGTGGGGGAATTCGAGTTCGGATGGCAATCTGCTCCAGTCTACAGACTTGAAAAGGGTTGGATCACAACAGAGAGCTTCTGGCGGGTGGCGGTGGGAGGCCGACGACTTCTTTTGGAAGGATCCCAAACTTTAAGCGTGCAAACAACGACTCGGCTCGAATTTGTTGGCCGCGGGTTAAACGTGAAGGACAAGAGGATGACGAGGGCGAGAGAAAAAGAAGAGAACAGAGAAGAATGTGCGTGTGTGTGTGTAAGAGAGAGAGAGAGAGAGAGAGAGAGAGGAGATGGAGAAGTGGAGTTATCAGCGTTAGGTGGCGAAGGAAGGAGCAGCTTCCTAGCGCAGTTAAGGTGAACGAAACGTAACAATGGACTACTAAGGCCTGGTTCCTGTCCCTACAAGATTTGCGGCCAGTTATTTTTTGTTTTTACATAAAATTTACTGTTTTATGAAACAAAGAAGTATAAATTTAAAAATATATCTAGAGTCAAATATAGGCGAACAGATGCACCCAAATCCGATCATTTGACTGACCGGAGATGCTAATTGATGAGAATCTGACTTCAAAATGATCTTTGAAATTGAGCGAACATCAGAACAGAACGTAAAATTTTCTTTGTGACCACCGAAGTAGTGAAGATGACCATGCTTAAGAAGATGGAGACGTAAGAAGTCCAGCTGGTAAATCTTCCTGTGTTGAACAACAGTGTTTTTTTTAGTTGTGTGTATTCATTAAAGTTTATTATTGGAATATCACAGGTCGAATATGTGAGTCAGGCGAGCTTAATCTATGAAAATGGAAAATTTTGAGGAAGGAAAATTTTTATAGGAAGCTCAAAAAAGTAATAGATTTCCAACTAATTGAATCTCCACTAAAATCATCTAAAATATTCTCCCAAATTTTCCTTCACCGCCTCTAATTTATAGGATTTTGAGAGCTATAAAAAAAACTACATAGAAAGAAAATTAAAAGTACAATGCTACACATAAAACTCATATAATGCTACACACTACTCTATATGCATGTCTCCTCCTATTTGGCTTAAAGAGAGGAAGGTCAAAAGACTTCGACAAGTTGACTAAGAGCAAGATCAATAATGTTGAATTGATGTGTGGGAGTGTTGAGATGAAAAAGGATCGATACCCACCGAGGCTTAGGGTGGTTGGTGGGCGAGCACAGTTGGAAACTCCCATCTCGGGTTTGAATCCCCTCTACTACGGCCTCGCCTCTTCAATGGGGCAAAGCAAGTGTGGGCCTGATGTCGGTGGGTGTCCTCGCTAGTTTCCGTCAAGGGATTAGTTACGCCTCCAAGCACTCCCTTTGAAGTGGCAGCAGGTAGATACCCCCATTCCCAAAAAAAAAAATTGTTTAATGGCAAGCTTACTGATATTGTTAATGACTTTTGTAGGTAATATTGGATCGCCTGAGAAGGAGATGAGTGAGGTGTTGCCATAGTGATGGAGAGTTCCGAGTTCAATTATCATAACAAGGTAGACTGAGGGTCCCAAGAAGCAGACATTTTCTTGTAGTAGAGTCTGTTGAGGATAGTCATTATGGAAGAGAGAGAGAGAGAGAGAGAGAGAGAGAGAGAGAGAGAGAGAGAGAGAGAGAGAGAGAGAGAGTGAGAGAGTGAGAGAGAGAGAGTGAGTGTGTGTGTGTTAAAGGTCGCTTGGAGTAGGAACGACTGATGTAGTGGTCCAGGTACGTGCCGAGTGACGAGCTGCTAGCTTGGTGAGGAATGCTCGATGTTACAGTCTGGGATACCAATCTCATGATTTTTATGATAATAAATATTATTGGATTTTGCTTTATTTCTCCTCTTATTATTATTGCATATTTCTTTTTGTGCACTAGCATTTTAGGTATATCGTAAGTATCAAGACTCAAGACTAAGTTTGATGTTTGCAAGAGTTAATATCTTCATTTATCATTTATTATATTTCTCAAGCCAAATATATTGTAAAAGGTGTATATTAGCTTAACAATTGTGAACACACATAGGGGATGGAATGTTAAAAGTTCAAATTTTATGAAGATCATGATATACGATCAATTAATTAGAAAACAAATAATTAAAAATGTTTAATTGAGAATTTAAAAATATTAAAATAATTGTACTATACAAACTCGATCGTGCAGGACGATCAGTTTAAATTCTAACACCTAGCCGCCAATTAGATTTAGGCAAGAAATTTGAATTTTAATTTTGAACTAATTGTACTATACAAACACATTTGTACTATATGATACTTCAAATCATGTCAAAATTAATCCCTATAATTATCCAATCAATGTAGGGTTTATTTAACGAGTATGATCGTATGGTATGATCGTAATCATACTAGATGATTGACAGAGACTATTTTTATCATCCCAAGGAACATCCTGGATGAATCTTGACTGGATTGAGCTATTCATACAATATGTTATCATGCTTACTAGATGATCGACATAGATGATTTTTATAATCCCAGAGATCATCCAAAATGAATTAGTAAAATATACTAATCGTACTACAATATCAACAACTCATATTGTACAATCTGTTTAAGCTTTTTGAACAAATTGTACTGGGTTTGTTTATCATACAGAATGAATTGGAATTTTTGAAGTAATCATACTATACGATCCGCAGATCATACTATACAAATATAGTCGGCTGAATTGAAAAATCAGGAGTTTTATTTTAGCCTTATATTTAAGCTCTTTTATTAAACTTTGAAAATGTCTTTGGTCTTTGTGAAAAACTTCTAAGATAATTTTTTGAGGGCTTTATCTTCTTAAGAGATCTTAGAGGTTGGAAAGAAAGGGGGAGAAGTTGTGTGTGAGGGAGAAGTAATGTAAGAGAGGATTTCATAGTGTTACTCCAAACAAACATCTATCTAGGTTCCTCTATGTGTCTTTGTTGATCTTCAGGGGAGCTCTGAGGAGAAAGTTTTTCAAGGTCAAAGATTGTCGGCACTCCATCGAGGTTCTTTGCCTCACCATGATGGTGAAAATGATTTTGGTTCTCTGCCTCACCAGGAGGGTGAAAAAGATTTTGGCACTCTACTGCATCAGGTTGGTGGAAAATATTTTATAAGGGTTTCTCCGTCTTATTGTGGTGGAAAAATGAGAGTCACTAATGGTTTAGTGCAATTCCTGAAGAGGCTTTTAGGGAGTGGACGTAGGTCATATTTTAACTGCACCACTATAAATTCATTGTGTTCATTCTTAACTTTTCTTTCCACATTTATTTTTTACAAGTTAATTTCCTATACATTTTATTTTTCTTAAAAATATGTGTTGAGATTATTGAGATTGCTTGTGATTAATTTTTGTTGAAAAAGAAAAATGAAAATTTGTAAATTAAAAAGAGAAAATATTTTAACTTTTATATCTCTACAAAATCAAAACAACAAAAATAATATTTATTTTTCTAAAGTTAATAGCTTCTGCATTACAAAATCATATTATGAAGTGAAGAGGTGAAATTGATCTAAATTTTTTTTTCAGAAGAGCGTTGTTTGAAAAGAATTTTTAAAATACCAATTCTACCCCCCCCCCCGGGGGTGTTCTGGGTTAGTTCAAGTAGTTTAACAACATTTCTTGAACTTTCAAGCGGTATCAGAGAGGATTCTCTAGAAAGGATGCGGTTTAAGTCGAAGACCATTAAGTTTGAAGATACGTGGAGATCCTATCCTGTGGCTAAGAGCATTGTTTATCATTCTTGGAAGAAGAATGATGTTGGTGATGAATATACGATTTTACAAAGGAAGCTTAATCGTACCTTGAAAGCTTTATTTTTTTGGAGCAAAAACAAATGCAAAGACCTGAATGTGTTAAAAGAGAAACTGAAGAAGGAGATCCTTGATTTGCAAAATAAGGAAGCATTGAATATTAATTGGTCTGTTGAAGACCTTTTTGAACTTAGAAATAAAGTACATGAACTCAATGTTACTTTGAGAAGACTTTCTACTTGGTGGAACCAAAGAGCTAATGCTAGGTGGCATGAGGAAGGTGATGCAAATTCCAAACTTTTTCATAGCTTTGCCACGGCTAGAAAGAATGGAAATCGCATTTTTCAAATCAAAGACGAAGCAAACAAGCTGCATGAGGAGGAGGATCAAATTGAGAAGGTTTTCACAAGTTTCTTTGAGAAGAAATGGAAGCATAGGGAGTGTGAGGTAATGGGCTAGCCATTAGTTATGGAAAATTAGAAGTTAACTGTTGAGGATATGGATATGTTTAATGCTGAATTTACTGTGAATGAGCTGCAGATTTTGGTGTTTCAGCAAGGGAACAACAAGGCTCCAGGTTTGGATGGCATCACTTCCTCCTTTTACAAGAGTTATTGGAACATTGTATGGGAAACTCTATGAAATGTTGTAAGAAGTTTCTTTAATTGCAGCCATATGAATAAGGAATGGAAAGACACCTTGATTGTCTTAATTCCTAAGATTAAGAATCCCTTGACTCCTTCTAATTTTAGGCCCATTAGCCTATGTCAAACTAATTATAAGATAGTGGCTACTATGTTAGTTAACAGATTGAAGAGGGGTATTTCTAAGATGATTTCTGAAGAGCAAGCTGCCTTCATCCATGGAAGATCCATTGCTGAACATTGTTTGTTAGCTCAGGAGATTTTCCATAAGTTCAAACTCTCAAAGAACAAGAAGGGCTTGATGGCTGTAAAGCTTGATATGGAGCAAGCATATGATAGCATGGGATGGACAACTCTTCGGCATATTTTAAGATGGTATGGTTTTCCTACTGTTTTCTCTAATCTTTTCTTTGAATGTGTTGTAGATGTGAGATTTTACGTTATTATCAACGGGAAGAATTCTGAATGGATTAATGCCCAGAGTGGATTCCGTCAGGGATGTCCACTTTCACCATACTTATTCATCATGTGTTTTCAATTGATTACAAATTCACTAGAGCAAAAGGGGAAGAGTCTTGACATTCAAATTTCAAGTAGAGGACCGAAGATCACACATTTACTTTATGCAGATGACGCTCTCATTTTTTCTCATGCATCTGTTGATCTTGCTAGAGTTATGAAGACCATTGTGGAGAAGTTCTGTATGTAGACTTGGCAAAAAATTTATGTTAGTAAATCTTAGCTGTTGTTCGGCAAGGTGGTCAGTTATCATATAAAGAAGAGGATTGGCAGAGTTCTTGGCTTCAAGATAGTGAAGGAAATGAAGTACTTGGGAGTGAAAATATCACTTGATAGAATTAAGATGGCTGATTACCAAGAGGTTTTAAGCAATGCCATGGATAGACTTAATGCTTGGAGTAGGAAGTCTTTATCTTTGGTAGGTAAATTGATTCTCATTGAAAGTTCTTTGCTTTCTATGACTAATTTTTTAATTACTCAGTCTTTGGTACCTAAGAGGTTATTACATGAGCTGGAAAAATTGTGTAGAAGCTTTATTTGGAATAATAGTGATGGAACCAAGGGGATGCACTATATTGCTTGGAGTGATATTTGCAAACCAAGGTGTTTGGGAGGATTGGGCTTGCATTCTCCTCTACATAGAATTGGGTCTTTAAGATCCAAAGTGACATGGAATTATATTCAGAAGCCTTATTCTTTGCTTCACCGTGTTATGAAGAATAAGTATGGTGATAATGTGATGAATGGAGCTCAAAGGAACATCAATTCAAATGCTTGGAAAATTCTGTTGGATGGTGGGAGTAATCTGAAGATGGCGGTTCGTTGGAAGGTGGGTAGAGGAGATAAAATCAGTATTTTAAATGACACATGGCTGCTTGATAGGTGTATTAATCGCTGGCCAACTTTTGCTGATTACAATTTCCTGGATGGTATGAATGTGCAGCAGTTGATATTAACCAACGATATATGGAATTCTGATTTGTTACAAAGGGCATTTCATTCGGACCTTATTTCTTTAATTACTCAAATTTCAATTGAGCATGGTGAGGAGGACCAGATGGAGTTGATGAAGATGTGCTCGGGAAAGACTGTGTCCGCCTTGGTGTATGAACAGATGTGGCTCAATAGATGCAATTTGGAGAATGTGTAGTATTTCAACTGGGTGAAGAATTTGAAGATGAATAAGAAAATTGAAATATTCTGTTGGAGGTTGGGTAAATCAGTTATTCCTACTAATATGTTCCTCATGAACCGAAAAATTTTAGATAATGCTCTTTGTGCTAGAGGATGCCAAGTTAATGAAACTTATGAGCACATTATGGTGCATTGCAAGTATTTGATTGAAATCATTATGAAGCTGAGGGAATGGGGTAATTTTATTCCTGTATTTCATTCACTGGATTGTTGTTTAAAGGACCTAAAGAATATGTCTACCAAGAATTCTGAGATTGTTCGTTTGTATTGCTCTATTGTGTATTACTCTTGGAAGGACCGGAATGATATCAAGCATGGTAAGTCTGCTCTGCCATTCTCTATTATTGCTGCTAATGCCCTTTTTTTTGCAGTCTCCAAATCTGGTCCATTTCTCTCTAGCTGTGGTACTAATCTCTTTAGGGAGTCTCAAAGAACTTGGTACCCTCCACCGAAAGAATGGATTAAGGTTAATGTAGATGCATCTTTGACAAGCTCTAATCTGGCTGGCATTGGAGGAGTTTTCCATGACTACATAGGACGGTTTATTAGTGCCTTTGGAAAGAATGGAAATCATTGGGATATTGGTCATCTTGAGCTAGAATCAGTCCTCACGGTTAAGGATTATTTCAAGAGCTGGATGTTGGAATGTAAAGGGCTAATCATAGAGAGTGATAATATAAATATTATCAAATTCATTCAGAATTTTTTAAAGAAGAATAAGGAGAATGTGGATAATTGGCCGCACAAGAATTTATGTTTTTTTGAATGATTTTAATAAAGTTGTATTCCTCCATGCTTATAGAAGTTGTAATAAAGTAGCAAATTGTTGTGCTACTATGGCATTGGAGAGTAGTTTCTTTTTTGATAGCTTTTCTTTTGATAGCATTCCTACCTTGTTGTTAGGCTTAATCAAGGAGGAATGTGATCCTTTCATTACTTGTACTTAGCTTCCCTTTTTTGGTTTTAATGCAATGTGATGCATTTCCTTCAAAAAAAAAAATCCAATGGCAAACTTCAATCATAATAGTAATACTACTCAAAGATACTCAATTACTTGTACACCTATGTTTGATAATATAGCATATACTTTTTAAAAAGTTTGCATGTCTACATTCATTCAATCTATTGACTATTGCATGTGGCATATTATTCAAGTAGATATACTCCTCCATCTCGCATTATTAATGGAATTAAGAAAGAAATCTTTTTTAATGAATGGATTTTTAAGAATATAGACTATGCTCAACTTAATGAAAAATGTCTAAACTATTTTTTTATGTGTCTTAAAGTCTGAGGACTATATGCAGGTTTATTCATGTATAAATGGTATGAAAATTTGGGATAGGCTATATATCACTTATGAAGGAACTAGTGAGATCAAACAAAAAAGGCTAAATGTTTTATTGCATGAATATGAACTATTTGACAAGAAATCTAGTGAGACTATTACTGACATGTATACGAGGTTTACTAAAATAATGACATCATATGCTATAGGAAGCGAATTATCTAACTCTAAAAAGATCAATAAGATTTTTCTCTACTTACTAGATAGTTTTGTTGCAAAAGTAGCTGCCATCTATAAATCTAAAGACTTAAATGTATACTCTATTGATAATCAATTTGGCTCACTCATTGCTTAAGAGTAAAATGTGAGTCAAAGATTGCTTTATGTAGGTGATAGGAGGAAGGAAAAGATAGTGATGGTAAAGGCCAACGACTTAGATAACAATAACTCTACAATTGATCGAGATTATGATATAACATTAATGACTCAGTAATTCAAAAGCTATCTGAAGCAAAAGCAAAGACGCCATCAATATTGAAATAAAGGAAAGTCATGTATAACTATTAAAGTTTTTCTGATGCTATCTATTTTAAATGCATGAATCTCAAACAAATGAGGTTTGATTGCCCCAACTTAAAAAAAGTCACCCTAATAAGGAGAAAAGTGAAAAAAAAAATCAAATGCTAGGAAGGATGAAAAATAAAATGCAAAAAGGGGAAACATCTAATGCATAAAGCCTTATGGGTAGACTCTACATCAGATTTATTAGAATAAGAACCAGACGAGGTAAAGAATCTATGCCTTATGATGAATGATAATATTGTTAATTCTAATTAAGAAAAGGTATGTCAACACTCCTATAATGAGTTATTTACTATTTTTGAAAACATATATGACTCATATAGGAAGCTAAAGAAATTAAATGTTAATTTAAAAAAGGAATTTTTTTTTATTTAAATGAGGAGCATGACATTGTAGCTAGGGAGCATGAAAATCTTATAGTTGAGCATTCCACTCTATATAAGGAGTATGCTTCTCCATTAGATGAATTTGATGAGTTCAAAAAGAAGCGTATTAAATTAAGTGAATCACATGAATCCTTGAAAATCGAGCATGTTGAATTAGAAAATGCATTTAAGAAATTAGAAACACTTGTAATAAAACTAGACACTAGTTAACATGCATTGAAATGTGAACTTGAAAGTTAGAAAAATTTAAATATGTTTTTGAAAAAAAAATATTAAGACTTCAAAATATACACTACTAGCTACACTAGCATAAAAGTCATAACATGATACATATTATGCATCACATATCCTTTGGAAGAAGCACTATCACCCATGTAGGATAGTGGACTCATTTTCTAGGAATAGGTGTTACTCTTGTAGCATGACAGGACAGATTGCCAAAATTCACATTGTATACCATAAAACACATCTAGTGTTGGGCCCAAATTATTAGCATCACAATATAGTATTCATTCCATTCATTCATTAAAGCATAAGGTGGAACCCAAACTCACATGGGTTCTCAAATCTAACCTTTGATTGATCTTATAGGGATGCTCTCATAAAAGGCCTAAAGATATCATGTGATACATGGACAATTGGTGTTCAAGACATATGATGGGAGATTTGAAGCAGTTCATCATAATGAAGGCTTGGAGTAGAGGCAAGGTAACAATGGGTGACAACTCCACTAAGAAATTGTTGGGTCTCAGGTACTATTAAAAAATCAAATAATTTTATCATAAAAAATGTTCTTTTAGTAGATAGATTAAAATAAAATTAACTTAGCATTAGCCAACTTTATGATAAGGGTTTTGAACTAATAAATGTATATTACTTTTTCAAGAAAAAATTATGTTAGAAGGAAAAAGGAAAAATAATGTTTATACGCTTTATTTGTCTTGTGATGATAATCCTGATAATCTTTGCTTGAAATCTATTTTGAATGAATCATGGTTATGGAATAGGTGACTATGTCAAGCTAGTATA